ACTTAAGAGAGAGATTGGCGCTAGCCTTAACTCATTGTGTTTCTTCGTTGCTATTATTTTTTAAGAGTTCATAATGTTCAAAATGCATTCATTACATAATTTAAATGCAATTTTCTCTGTAGTACTCCATGGATTTCATAAGCAGGATATTATAGTTGTTTATACAAAGCTTAAATATAAAACAATCAAACAATATATGCAGCGTTATCTTCATTTTAGATCTCAAAAATTGGTGGCTCCCAGTGTTTTCTGTGCAAACCAGGTCGAAATGGCACTTTGGGTGTTGCCGACCACTGGTCTAGAAGCAGACAAGGTGCTTCTAAAAAAAAGGAAAATGTTTATGCTCAACATAAAATTAAACATACAAAATAAAATGTGTTAATTACATTACATTATTACAAGAGCTACGCCTAGTGGTCAAATACTAACATTTCACCAACTGTTACATCGTGATGGTGATCGTGTTTGTGTCATGTTTTCGTGTCTTCCAGTGTCCCTTTGCCTCTTCTCCAGAAATCTGGCAATATTATTTTCTTAAATAACAAAGGAACAAATAAATAAATAAAGTAGCCTGCAAAACAAAACTATGGAAATGTGGAAAAATGGATTTAACAAACAAACAGTCAGAGAGAGAGAGAAGAGAACAATGACATCTATCAGCAGCACCACTCCCAAGAAGCCAAAGTCCTCCATGAAGTCCTGAAGCTGGACATTCTCACTGCTCTGCAGGTTTAATGAGAGCTCTCCATCAACCTGGGGCACACAGAGAGAAACCATTGGGAGGATCACAGATAAGGTCTGATGCTCTGCAGTTAACAGAGAGACCTTGGCCTGATTCTGCAGCGTGACCACAAACACACCATCATTAGAGTAATTTAACAGGCGGTTTGCTGCCTTTGATGATCCACTTTCTGATGCCTGTGAAATACTTGTTCTGGCCTTGTAGCTGATGATAAAGCAGGCTCCTGCAAGACTTTGCTGGTGTGGGGTGTCATGATGCACTGA